ACCATTTACGTTTTATTTCCCGATCAAGACAAGGATCACACGGTGGGTGTGACCGGTCAGCAGGGGATGCTCACTCCTTCATGGCACTTGATCCCACTTCTGATGTTTCGGAGGTCCGTGTTTGCGCTGCTCCTATTTGTATTGTTTTATGGACTTTGATATTGACTACTGTTCGTTATCTCAATATCCTTCTTTCAAGTAAAATATCCAAATACGAAACAGATATCGGTGGTATCTTTCATATCCAGCTAACCTGGATATATTGTATCGACATTACAATGGAAATACCCATTGCAAATTGAAAATGCATCGTTGACATACTAGTATCTAAATGTCGAGTAAAAGGTCACAGAAAGTGATTTCTTCTTTTCACGTTTAAGATTTGGGACAAATTCTGCATAAAGTATTATAGTTATTGTTTCGCAAACGAGAGCTGTATGGCATACACCGGTGTCGACTTATTGCAATGAACAATGACTAAGTAAGGCCTTTTTATATAGGGTTCCTCAGAAATAGCAAGAGTCCGATCGAAAATGGACACATTCTTTTTAAGACTCATGTTCCGTTTTAATTATTGCAGAATCAAATCAGTTCAAGTTATGGCCCGCAGATATTGTGCGAGTTCAACAAAGGTCAATGTTTACAGGAATCAACCTGAAAAAATATTTGAAAATCTTCTGCTCAAGTACAGCAAATCCATCATTATTGATAATAAACGATGAGATATTCATATGGAAGCATCCTGAGGAAGTGTAAATTGAACTCCCTCCCTTCCCGTTGATTTTTCATTACCGAACTAATTTGTGCTTTTTTCATAGCAAATGTGCTCAGATGAGTGATGGGCTCATGGACCTTTTGTTCACGGTTTTCATAGTTTACATGTCTAAAAAACTGATTATATTTTTTGTTATCTTCACTTTTGAACTATTGGTCCATATGTTGTGACAAAAATAACGGACACATAATTATGTCTTTGATATTTTCTGTCCTTGGCATCCATTTCAAGAACATTATTTGTGCAGTTGGCATTCATGTGTGATGAATATACTCAGAGATATGAAAAAAAAGTCTTAAATTTTGTACTTCATGTTTTTCGAAGAGTACATATGATTCGAATTTGTTGTCTTTGACTTCTGACAACTCAACATGTTTTCCAAATATCGTCAGGATTTTCTAAAACTATACATCACTGATTACGAATAACTTGTCATCTATCAAGTCATTTTGATACTGAAACTTTTACTATTAACATTTTCCTATAGCTTGTATAAGTCAGTTGTGTGTCAGTTTTATCCAAACCTTTCCTCAAAGTTCGTGTAGAGGTAGTCGACTTATTTGCAATGTTTCCGTCATTAGCATTGACTTTTAACACTAGATGAAACGCAATACTTATTTATAAAAGTTTCAAAACACAGTCCTGTCATATGTTGACTGGTTACAAATGATTGACATTTCATGTTGAATATCATCATCATAATACAGTATCGACATATGCTGGAAAGTTTTTTGTTAAATATTGACAAGTGTTTGCTCTTAATGATCAAATCAAATTGTTTTAAACGAAGAAAAACTCCCCTTGCTTTTTTGACACCCACATATACGCTTTCAAAAATTAAAGTGAGATGACTAAAATCGTATTCCAATTTTTCCCCTAGGAATTTCTTTTGTGCATTTCTCAATGCAATAAAAATTGTTATTAATCATTACATGTGTTCAATGATTTTTTTTAAATTATAAATTACTTTTACGATAAATTTGAACAGTTGTTATCCTTTGATGAAATTTAATAACTTTTACCTGTCTGCAAAATCCAGTTTCTTCGTTTTTATGTAAATCAAAGACACAAAAAGACTAACGAAATATCAGTAACACATAAACATATTATTTTTCTACAATTCTTGGTGGCGAATTAAAAGTAAGCTTTTCGATATTATACACAACTGCTTCTTCAATATAATCGACACTCTTAATTTTTATTAAACTATTAAATTTTTACATCTTGTGACTGGTCTGCATACAAAAAAATGTTAAAATCCCCTCTGATTCTACATGCTAGTTTTCCTCAAAGTCATTTTATCGACCGTAGATGTTACGAGGTGATTTTAAATGAGACTGCTGATTTTATTGTTTATCAACTTGTGTGCCAATTATACTTACCTGTTTCAGAAATTGTACATAGCTACGTAGACCATGCTATGATCTTGATCTTGATTTAGCCATGCTCTTGCGTATCGAATCAACTGAGAATTATAAACCGTGAATGCTGATAATAAGGGTATATTGCTGAATAAATAAGGGAAGTTGATGATTGAAACGTTAATGCCATCCCGTTGATGATGAAACTATGTTGTTAGATTACATGTACCTTTAACGTCTTTTTCTAGTAAAACAAATAAAAATGAAACATTGTCAGATGCTGTGGTGTCTTTTATTTTAGGCTCACTGGCATTTCGCGAATCGAATTTGAATGACAAAACACATTGTTAATTGACAATACGTCGTCGATATGATTATCTGAATGTTGAGTTCAATGTCAAAGCGTTTTCTTCTTTTCGCGTAAAAGGAATTTCAATAGGATCTTATTGTGTGACTTTCCAAGCCGACTTGTTCTATCTATGATGACCTTATTCAAAATCTAACATTATTAACATGAAAACAGGGAAAAAAGCTATTGTGACCTTCAACTCGGCATTAAGATAACCCCCAAAAGGCCAACTACCAACCTTTATCTATGAGAAAGAAAATGGCTTCATTTTCTTTTATCGTTAATAATCCTTATTCATAAAGAAATACTATTACTTGTCATACACCAATGTATGGTGTTATGGTCTCGAAATCTATTCAGTATCAATTGCATGCTCAGGAACGATCAATTTTGAGATCAAGGCAGACTTTTGTAACGCAAGTTCATGTTACAAGAAATTCAACACAATCGTTAAAAGTCTGCATTTCGGGAATTATACAGTCGTCTAAATAACCTTGTTTGCAAAAACATTCTTTCTATTGGACATAGTTTGGTTGACAAGATTCATACCAACTGTGCAGCGTTGCCTTTGTTCTGCATTAATTTTGACAACAGGAACAAACATTCCGTCGACCAGAGAACGGTAGATGTGACTGGTCGACACAGGATGCTTACTCTTCCTGGATACCTTATCCTACTATAAGAATTCCAAGGAGGTTGTGTTGTATGCCATGTTCACATTTTTAAAATCATTTTTTTTTTTTTTTAAATTTTATTTTCTAGATAGATCAATGTTTGTTCTGTTCATCTTTTTTGAATGGGCCTCGCGTAAAACAGTTCATATATATCCAAGAAGCATTAATTATTTTCGTTGCAATAACATGTAGCTCTTGCTCTTGCATTTTGAATTAATTCTCTCCATCGAATTGTACTTAAATAATATATCTGTAGTACATATTTATTTTTATTTTCGATAAACAAATATGATTTAATGCAAATATTATGCTTTAGATAAGCATTGTGTCTAATCTACATTTTGACCTTTCACGAATTTAGAAAAGCCAGTCGTGGTTGGTTCTACTTTCCAGAAAATGTAAATTATAACAAATTCCAGTAGTTTGTGCTTTATCCAGTATATACCTTCTCAGTTCAAAGGAAATTGTAACCCAGCATCTGAACCCTAGTGTGGAAGGAGTGATCGGACCTGACCGGGAAAGAAATCATCAGATACAACTTGAAGATAATTCATGTTGAAAATATAGGTTTACAAAACAATTATTTTGTGCGGCAAGCTTTTAAATACTTAGAGACAATATAAAACATTGTTATAATATGTTACTAAAAAAAAAGGATCTCCGAACGCTTCTATTTTGCTTTTAATATATATTTATTGAGAAACAAATACTTTCGTATCATGTAACTTAAAATCTTGAATGAATTTCGATGATAGCATAACCGGACATAATCCATGCTAGTAAATAAATCAATCAATGAAATATAGAATTGTTGATAAGCAGTACATAGGCAAATAAACATTTTCTTTGAAATATTTTTTCCAAGCCTTTGGCAACACTAAGTTTTATCTTTGCCATGATTTTCTATATGGGTTTTAATCTTTTAATTATTTATCGAACATGATGATTAAAAGCATGATATTTTGTATACACACGAAGCACTATATCAAAAACTCAACCTGACTTTCAAAAGGTATTTAAATGACAGCAAAAAGACAATGGGTCGTTTATATGTTAATTATCACTTTTACCTCATAGTTCAAAGTTTAGAGCCATATATCGTGAAATAATTTCATTAGATGTCGATAAAAACGGCACATAAATCTTCGTCTTAATTTGTTCAATGTTATTTTATTAAGAGTAAAATATGTTTTTAATTATTAAAGATAAAATTCGTACATTTCCTATATAGCAAGTATTACTTTTCACTTTTCCGTAAATAAATAAAAATTACTGCATCTCATTATATCACGACACTGTAGTGTATACACGTAAAAGATAAATAAATAACTCGGACATTTGTTTGAGTAAAAGTATAATCAGCAAAAGCACTCACAAGGATGCGTTTCGACACACACATTTTTTTTTTTTATAATTTGTCAATGCATCTGTAAACAACATATCCTGCGGGAAAAAAGCTCCGCATGTTAAAAAGCAAAAACAAATGGATTCGTGATAAATTGTAGGAGTGTAGATTTGTTATTCTGGCTCTCATATTAATAAAAAAAGTGATTTAATTAAAAACAGATTTTTCTCTTGCCTTTATATGCTGAACAAATTTATAAACATAATACTTATAGAGACAATAGAAATCTCTAATAAATTATGATTAAATTATGACAAGTAACAGTTCCGCGTGGCTAAATTTACGTCGAGAAAGTGACACGATGCCGTTAGCAGTGTATTAATTTCTTCTTCTTGCATTCATTCATTTGTAATACGTGGGTTATTATCATTATATACGCTCGGTATTTCCTGGTGAAGAAAATTTTATTTTCACCATTTTTAACTGTTCTTTATAGAAGGATCACACGAAAACTGGTGAAGCTGTGAATTGTGTTCCGTGTGGGAAAATACGGATTAAATCTTCTCTGATTCCCATTTGTGGGAACCGGCGAACGATGGAGGATTCAACTCTCACATCTTACCCCTCTTCCTGGAGCTTAACGTCACGCTCCCCCTTAATCAAGAAACGGTTGTCTCGCTCCGATTCTGGTGGTTCACTTCCGGACAATATACTAGATAAAAGGGACGCCAAAGGTCGAACGACATTTTTCAATGCCACAAAAGTTGGGGATTTAGACGAGGCGAAACGACTGTTAAATGCTGGGTCAGATGTCAACAAGGGGGACATCTATAGAGTTACACCCCTCCATGAGGCTGTGGAAAGGTCAAACTTGGAGGTTGTCGAATTCCTTGTGTCAAAAGGTAAGATGTTTTATATTGTAAATGTTTTGCGAAGTGATCGGTGGGTTTTTTAAGAAAGAAGGGGAATTAATTATATGTGTAAGGGAAAAATTAATTTCTTTTTTGACCTTTTTCTGATTTTATGACAAGAGGCCACTGAAAACAACTTTATTAATGACGTATCTTGCCCTGGTGAAAAGTTTCACCATGTATACTGCTCAATGCTTAATATTTTGACACATACGACAAGAAAAGCTTTGAGCTACGCTCTCGTTATATACGGCTATCTAACTCTTGGCAAAATCTAAAACAATGATAAAATACTTTAACTAATTTCTGATGAAAAGCCGTATGAATATTTGCTTTATGAGTTCAGATTATTTAAGTTTATACTTCACCTTGATCGAAAGTCATTTCAGCTATTCCCAAGCCCCGAAAAACACAGACACAAAACACACATAAAAGTTTTAATATTAAAATACCTTCATTCCAGTTTTTTGATATTAATTAAGATGGGGCAAGTTTTACATTATACAGAATCGCGATGGAAAATCAACGAATCACAGTTTGTTCGGCAACCACAAAAGCTTTTTCCCTCGTTAACACGGTGACACCGATTGCAAACAAATTTACACGTGCATGCCGTAGCTTGCGAAAGGTACCCCTAGATTTTTATGCCTCAGTAAAAGAAGTTTCAGGGGTATATAGTTTTTGACCTGTCCGTCCGTCTGTCTGTTTGTCCTCAAAAACTTTAACCTTGCTCATAACTTTAGATTGAATGGGGCTATGGCTTTATTTCACAGGTGTATTCCTTGTGGCAAGATCTTACTTTGGGTACCACCAAATTTGACCTCTTGACGTTGTCAAGTATGACCTAGTTTTACAAAAAAAAAATTACAACAAATTTACCTTTTCCATAAGTTTTGCACTTTCAGCAAGGGCTGAAATCCTGTCAGAGGGTATATATATTTTGACCTTTTCTCCTTGACCTTAGAGTTTAACACTTTAAAAATTTAACCTTGGTCATTACTTTTGAACAGTAAGAACTAAGACTTTCATATTTCACAGGTGTATTCCTTGTAACAAGATTTTCCTTTGGATACCAAAACTTTTGTCCTTGTCCTTTGGACTTCGACGTGCAATTTGAGAAAATTCAACCCTCGCCATACGGGGGAATTAGTGTTTCATAAACACATCTTGTTATGACTTGTTTTATTTTAATCGATTTAAAACAAAATTTGCCCATTCTAACAGGCCACTTGATAAGCATGAATAAGCATAAAATAAATGTATATTCAAAATTGGAGAGTTCCAACTTTCTGACAGGTTGTCTATAATCGACGGATTTTCATATTTAACGAGTTTGCATATGGTGATGAGTAAAAGACATGATGATATGATCACCCATAGGAATTCCACGATGTACTTTGACTCACTATGAATTGTTAAACACAAATATGCTGAAACATGAAGAGTATAACTAAATAACAGGGTTTTATATCCATATTAGTTTTTCTGTCGAAAACAATGATATACAGTTGTACCCTTTTCCTAATGATTTATTGAAACCATGGAATTTTCAGTCAACCTCTTGTTTATGTCTTAAGGTCAAAAGTTCTATTCGTCCGTTCTTTCGGTCGGGAATCACTTATTCTTGAACAAAGCAATTAACATGCTAAAATTTTAATATAAGTTGAGTCATCGTGGAACTTTAATATTTAATACTGCGTGCGTCTCTTCAGTTTTTCTATACATTTACATACACCGTTAGATAACAAGCTCATGTGTATAAAAACTGTCATTTCAACAAATTAGGCTGGATAAAACTGTTTGAACCAACACTACTGTATATAATACTTCTAATTAAGAAACTATCTTTATGTTGTTCATGTGTAAAAATAGTTTCCTAACGACGTCTTATTCATCAATGTCATATTCATGTCATTGTAAGACTTACACGTGATTAACACGATCAAGAAGCAACACTGAGAAAAATTTAAAATTGAATCTGTTAATTGGGATGTGGTAAAATATTCCTACTTTGTCGAGCACAGAAAATCTAAGACCTTGTGTCCAACAGAGAAATCTATTCTTGTAGCTTGACAAGTAAGAATATCAAGAAAAGCTTAAGGGCATACTCAATTGTTGTGTATAGAAATAAACTCTTGGTCCATTCTAGCTTCGTTGAGTATTGGGGGGGGGGTCATTTAATTAGTTTCCGGAAGATCAATCCTTTGAATAAATTCGAGAGCATGCGGAAATGAAAAGGTCCCTTTCGTTCACTAGGACAGAGAATACCGAGTACAGATCTACATTTACAGCATGGTACAGTTACAAGACGCTTGAAAAACATGTAAATTCTCCTGAAGATGTAATGCAAAGAACCTAGGAAAAAAACTCTTGTTCAACAATCTTACTTTTGTCACTGCAGTTTATTTATTCATACTTTTTTCATAGATTGAAAAATTATATGATTATTCATTAGATAAACATCAAGTTTGTTCATCTTCATGTCCGTTAATATTCACTCAATATTTTTGATTCTATACTAGCTTTTGATGGAAAACTTAAAGTATTCAAGGACAAAAGAGTTAATAACAATAGTATTTGAATGTATTTCTACCTACCTACCTAGTACTTGTTATGCCCGGGACACATAGGGCAAGGACTAAACCTCCATTTCTCTCTGTCTTGAGCATTTCTCTCCAGTTTTCCCCCAAGTTAGATTATGGTCTCTTATTTCCCTCTCCGGAGTCCTTCTTCAGGCGTTCTGTCACCGACCAGGTTTCCTCTTCCCTTCTGGTGTCCATCTAAGAGCTACTTTGATGATGTAGTTGGATGGTTTTCTTAACATATTCCCTATCCATCGCCAACTCCATTTTATTAGTAAAGTTCTCATGTCGTCTGTGTTTGCTTTCTCATGGAGTTCAACATTGGTAATTTGCCAGATATTTGAAAATATATTATATTATTATATAAGGAATCTTTTGTTTTTGTTCAAATGAGAAAAAAATATTGTTAAATGATGCCGATAACTCAGGAACGAAACTGAGCAGCAGTGAAAAGATAAACTTGATGTTCTCAAGATTTGAAGTATAATTTCTCTACATTACGAAATATACAGCGATATTTCAAAATATATTTAAAAAAAAACACTTGCACATTTATCATTTGTTTAGTGTCATTCTTACTGTCAAGGACTAGCTGCAGTGCATTTACTGTCTTGTAAAATTTTAAACACGAAAAATTTATGGGGGATTCCTTCTGGTAAAAAAAAGTAATTCTTGCACAGATTGGACAATCCCAAGGACATTACTTAATTATTTTGATTTTAAGTTAAACATATTGATTGTAACAATATTGTGGCAAAGTTTGGAACACACGTGATATATTGTGGTTAATATTTCCGCAAACTGCATTTTCTCTAGCTAAACCAAACTCTACTATTGGGCGGTAACAATTCAGGAAAAGATAACTGTCTCACACAGCGTGGTACCGTATCTAGTCTGGTAACCATCATGCCCCGAACATTGTCCTCATTATGCACGTGATGATTCAATCGCTAATTAGTTGGTTCAAAGAAATATTTTTGAACTATTTATAATGATCACTTGCTATGATGATATCTAATTTTGATTGAAATTTACATCGCTAATATAGATGTTATTAACTTGTGCCAAAATTTTGATATAAAAAAGGTGTTTTTGTCATTATAATAGAAAAGGTCATTGAATGGTGATAATGGCTATCAAAATGAAATAAAGTTTATTTGATATTCACAAAAAAATATCACGATTTCAGGAATAATTAAAAATGTTGCCAATATTCTTCAAAGAAATGAGAACTATTATACTTGACAGCTTAAGTGATTCATCATTGCTTAATAAAAGTAAGATTTTTTTTACTGGGAGGAATATCAACCAATGAGGAAAGAATTAGTGACTAAATAATATTTCAAAGAAAAAAAAATAGGTTTAAAAGAAAAAAACTAAAATACTTTTTTAAAATGATGTATCGTTTGCTAGTAAACATTTGTTTAACATAATCAATTGTCGTTTCCAAACATCCATTGCAAACGTTTATAAGAATAGCTTTCACGTAACGCAGCCAAGTTACTCAAACTTTTGATGAGCCGAAAAATCAAACCTTTGTCTTCATCTGCAAAATAAGAAAAATCACAATGCAATGAGAAGAGCAATACATATACACATAGCTCTACAGCAATCAAAACCAGGTTCCGTAGATTGTCATAACTTGAAAGGAAAAGGTCTGCCACTTTTGATATGAAATCACTCATATAATGTATCATTTTGACAGCATTTGATAGTATTATGAGTGAGCAAAATTCATCTGTTGATGTTCATTGCTGTTATGTCATATCAAAGTATTAAAAAATATGTAGATCTTCATGCTAATGCGAGACTTTTGTTATGCAGGTTGACAACCTTCAATTACTAAAACACTTTCTTCTCTGTTATTAAGACGATTACCCACATTATCCTTTTGTCTTTATATACAAAAATATATGTGATCAAATACGTCTGTATCTTGCAATAAAATATTAGATAGGTAAAATTAGGGTCAAGAAAAATATGTTATTAAGAATGTACTGGGCGTTAATAAAAAAAGTCCTCATCTCCTTCAATGCTTAGCTTTGATTTTGTAAGCAGTCCTGAAGATTTAGGAGTTTATTATTTATTTACCTGTGTATCTCATGCTTGAATACTTTTCTCACAGGATGTGACCTGAATGCCAAGACGATTCTAGGACAAACCCCGTTAATGAGAGCTGTTCTGTATGACGATGTCGACCTCGTTAGATACCTTCATAAAGCAGGTAATCAGGCAATGAGACACATCATGTTTTCCAGCGCAAGGTCTTATCGATACGCCAAAGACCATTACACAATTTCTAACCATATTTATAATTATATTTATCGATAATTTATCTTTAAATAAACAATGCTGTAATTTCTTGAACTCACTGTCTGGACGATATAAAGTTACAAATTGTAATTTTGTGCATTCACCTTAAGCCAGTAAAGTAAAAAAAAAATATGCGAATCATTCAATATTTTCACCTGCATTAAATACCTTCGATAAAACCTTTTCCAGGTGCTCGGTTGGATGAGAGGGATTGTACAGGTAAAACAGCTCTTCTTATTGGAATCCAAGAAGGACGAACGGAAGCATGCAGGTATCTAATGAAAAACGGATGTGACGTAAACATACAAGATCGACTGGGACACACGGCCATGATGATGGCTCTAAGAGGAGGCAAAACACCGAACTTTTACATAGGCCGCAAACTTGTGAAATTTGGATACGACCTCAAGAAAGATGAGAAATGGATGACACAAGAAGAACTAGAGGCAGTTAATGTAAAACCAAACGTAGTGGACAAAATCTGCTCTAAATTGGGGATATCACTAAAAAGAAGTCCCTCCAGTGCTAGTAAAAAAGACAAAAACGAGAGCTAAATAGGCTGTAATACACCAGGTCATAAACAAAACGAGACCTATTCAGACTGTATACGTCAGATCTTGTACAAAAAAGAGAGCTTATCAGACTTAACAATCGCTTATGAGAAGAATGTGCACAAACAGATATTTATGCTTTCATGCAGGGATTCAAGATCATACACAATCACACACTTAACTTGTTTCAATGACCATGAACAACAATTTCGTTCTTTTCATTTCAACTGCAGCTGGGTGAGAAAATCAAACACTGATGCCTGTAATGATTTATGTGCTGTTTTTAAATGAAAAGAAGGAAGAGTTGAAGCATTTTATGGATACATTTTAATATAACATACAAATTCTACAAATCAGAGTACGTCCTCTATATGTTTATCTATGTTAATGCCAACAGTTTTTGAATGAAGCATTTGTAAATATTTTGATGCAATAAAGATTTTTTTTTCATATTTTCCTTCTTTTTTAATTTAGATAAAGCAAAACAATATCTACATTAATTCATTTATATTTGATTTCCGAATAACAAACATAGTTGCCTTATTCATTTTTCCTGTCATTTTAAGAATATAATCAATAGATATTTTAAAATTTAGATCACTGCATTCTGGGACATATTTTATCTTAACACAGTTAAGCTTTTGCATCAAAGTGAAAATATTTCATGAAGTACCCATTATTTTAATAATAATGTGATCCACAAAATATACATTTTTATTTCATACTAAAGCAGTCTATATTCTTAATATATCAATAAAATTGAAACAGTGATTTAATGAGGTGAAGCCAAGATGTGAATGCAAGAGAATACAGTCCATACATCACTGCATTGAAACAAGTACAATTACTGTAAGTTATTCATAGCTAATAATTCATCAAAAACAAGAATTTATTTTATTTAAGAAATATTTTACATTTAGTTCTTCACAGTTAAGAAAACAGACCAAATTTCGAACTCTTCTATGAAGGATATGGAGATAATGAACAGTATTCAATATCAAAGTCCATAAAACAATACAAAATAGGAGCAGAGCAAACACGGACCTCCGAAACATCAGTGGGATCAGGTGCCATGGAGGACTGAGCATCCCCTGCCGACCGGACACATCCGCAGTGTGCTCCTTGTAATGATCGGGAAATAGCGGAAAAATTCGTCGTCAATTCAGTGTATAAATAATTGACTAATAATTAGTATGAAAAACTTCAGTCAGCATTTGACTCAATGATAAATTGTATTTGCTGGCAAGGTCATGGTATCGACCACAGAACTTCCGAAATAATGACTTTAAACGAGACTGCTGATAGTCTTGTTTCATCAACCTGTTTGTCAATAATTGATCTAGTTTTAGAAATTGTTCATACGTAGAGCATGCTCTAGCGTATCGAATCAACTGAGATATGTAAACTTCGTATGCAGGTGATGAAGGTATATTGCTGCATAGGTAAGGGAAGTTGACGATAGTAAAGTTGAAGTCATCACGTTTATCATAGAGCTTGGTTTTTAGATTACAATTAGTGTCTTTTCAAGTAAGATATCCAAGTATGAAACAGATGTGTCAGACTCTGTGGCATCTTTTATCTCAAGCGATATATCGTATTGACATAAAAATAGAAATTACCATTGTTTGACAATACGTCGTCGATATATCTAAAGATCGATTTGAAGGACACAGCAAGTGTTTTCTTCTTTTCTCGCATATACGATCTTTTACATTCCCTTACGAATTTGTAGTCAAAATTTTTTATATTGTGGCTAAGAATATATTAAAATAATTCTCTTACTTTGCAATACACCAGCCACAGTAAAGCCCACAGACAGCAGACCGTTATTTAATGTGACGTTTTGAAAAATGAATGTGTAATTCAAATGCAAGGTGGTTGTAGGCTATATAAGGTCGAAATTCGTAATAACATCGAATTAGACAAATTATCGCCCTTGATAACAAATACAAAAGCTATGGTAGAGATCCAGGCCTACAGAAGATATTTTTAAGAAAATGTTACTGTTTCTAGAGATTTTTTGCCTTCTCGTCCAACTCAATGGTGCTGTATGTAATGTGTCAAAGTTTATTTCCATTGGTAAAAATTTTAAAAGAATAAAAATGATAAAAACAAAGTCAAGGAGAAGAATGTTTGTTCCTAAATTGAGTATTTATATTTGATATTTATATAAACCTGCAACATTTAGACGAGTTTGTAAAAAAGGAAAGCTTTAAAATCTAACGTTTGACATACCTTTCACATGGTTTTGGAACCAGCTGGTACAAATATACTTTAGACTTACATGTAGCTATTTTCCATGTCAAGAGAAATGGACACACATGAAGAGGGACTTCACACGTCACACAAAGAGCAGTAAGAATGACAAACAAATCAGGATGTGTCAAAGTTCCAACGGTGGCATCAAATTTTATTACCGAATCTTTCTTTCTTCTTCTAAAAGAATTGGTAACGAACATCCAGCAAATCACTATCGGGACATCTTTACAAAGTGTTAACTACATAGCGTGTATTAATGTACGAAATTTACGTTGGGTATTTTCAAAACCATTCACTTCAGCATGAGGTCTATATTTTCCGTGTTTGTTCTCTTAAATAGCATTCTGAACTTGATAACTGTTGTTTTTTTTTATATTCCATGTATTAACATGTATTGCTGTGAAAAATTGATAAAAGTATCATTTAGAAAAGACTCTTTATTTTCATGCTTCTTATATATATTAGTTTAGAAGTTCATCATCAGAACTGTTCAAGAAACGAGCTGAAAACAAAAAGTAAATCATCTTGTTGGTATCAATTCCAGACTTTACATCATGATTTAATTAACCTTGTACCACCTAAGGAAAATGAAATATATTTTTACTAGTGCTTGTTTTCGAATATCTGTATCTGGAAACATAAAACTTGCTTTTCCGTCCAATATATCTGTATTTTTAGCATATATATTGAAGATTTAAATATATATATATTATATATTATAAAAAAAAGAAAGAAAGAAACGTTACTTCCGGTCGAACAGGACGGAAGACCTACTCGTTGCTTTGCAACGAGCTTTGCTCTAGTTATTGTCAATTATTATAACTTGTAATAATAACAATCTTTTCTTTGTGTGTGTATCCCAGAATATATATATATATATATATATATATATATATATATATATATATATATATATATATATATATATATATATATATATATATAAAAAATATTAAGAAATGTCAACAGATATTTGCTTCCATTTCTTTAGGCACACCTCCTAACTGAATTAACATAATCATCAATTCTGCTGCATCCCAGACCAAACTTTTAATTAAATGCGCCATAAGCATGCTGCAACAAGCATATTTATTATGCATAAAAATCCAATAAAAGCGAAAGAAATATAAACTGCACATCCACCCATTCTTTCAAAGCGATGAATATTTTCATTATGAATATATGATGCATTTAATACAATCGAAATTAAAGGAAAATTTGTTTATGCGGTCGCTTTTTTCCGAAAACCTATAAACAGGGGAGAAAAGTGCATCATAAAAATTATAAAAGTACAGCATAAGAAAGATGATTTACAGACCTTAAGTACTTTTAATATGATTTCCATTGACTTTTTTTTTTCAATTTCACATAAATGCATTTAATTTGCTGATGCAAAGAAGAAGATATATTTGAATGTTATCATTGTTTATTTGAGACCCATGTTAATTTTGTTTTGTTAAACCGTTTGAATGTATTTTTTATAGACTTTTAGTGATGGTCCTAAAGGAGCATATAAATTTTTAAATATCTGAAAATTCTTAATGCAAAATTGCAATAAAATTTAATGTACTTAATTAGAATTAAACAGACAAAAGTGTCCCAATCCGGTGATCTCCAAATAATGTCTTTGTAAAATTCAGAAACAAAATATGTACGAGGGGTGTTAGAAAAGTTCGCGGACAAGTTTTATTGTGAGCGCGCTATTTCCACGAAACCGGTCAAACTTTGCAGATAAAATCTTTACCTTTTTTCCAATTAATATACAAGAATTTGTTGCTCTCCGATGATTATTGAAAAATATACAGCTTTTTTATTTTGATAAATCTTGCTTCACGGAGCATGCTATTTTGGCACGTTTACATCACAAAGACTCTTTATTAAAATTAAAAATTGCACAATTGTACCGCAAAGAGTTTTATGATATTTTACCTGCCGCTATAGTATTCATGAAACGTCACTGGGAAAAATTTTGAACTAAATTGGAATATGACTGTTTTATAGCCGTTTTTAAATCAGCTTAAAAACACAGCCAAAAATGGGAACGTCATTTAGCGTCATGGAGCACTGCACTATGTAAAAATTATGTATGCAGACTGGAAAATGTCTAAAAAGAGATTAAAATGTTCAAGATGCTGCCGGGATTTCACACCTACAAAGGACAAGTTTTCAAATGGTTGTAGCTTCATAAGAATGGAGGATATATTTGAATGATTACCTCCATTGATACTTCAATACCCCCGTATCGCATGGATGTTATGGTTTTGCATAGTTTCCATACCTGATTGATTAACTGCATAGACTTTTTTAAGATCTCAATAATATCCGAATCAGTACAAAAGACATTATATAAAAGAAAAGTAATATGTCTTGATATAGATATTCAATTTTAAAGTAGAAAATAGATAAGAAAAATCTGAAGAAATGAAAGATTTATAGAACTTTACCGGTTGAAATCTGGTTGTCACGTCGCCTTACGTCAAGTGATTGCTCCGTGAATCCATGACCTCATAGTAAAAATGTAAATTTTCAAGATTTTATTATATGGACCTGATTTTTTATATACCAATAAACAAAATGTAGGAATTTATTGAGACATAGGTCATACTTCACAGTACAAAATAGATTTTCCGTAATTCAAAGTGTCCGCGAACTTTTCTAACGACCCTCGTACTTTATCAATAGTTTACTGCATCTGGATATTTACATTATAATTCACGACTCCCATTAGAGTAGACCAAATATATTCTTTTTATAAATTACATTCAATAACATTTTGGATCAGTTAAATTATGTTTAAAATACAAAAAATTAGAAAAAAAAAAAAAAAACAAAACCATTACAGAAGCAAACAGGAAATGATATACATATAATTCACATACATAAAATATTCCCAAGAGTACCAGTTGCGCCTCGTTATTATCAGACCTTAATTTTTTCATTCATATGAAGCAGAATTCGTCCAAAATCTTATACATGTACGTGGAAAGAAGAAATTTTAAACATCAACTCGGCATTTAGATACCGTATATACTCGCCTA